GGGATCTAGTGCATGTTGTAAAGAAATGTAATATGTACTATAATGTCGTCAATTATATAATTGTTAATGCTGTATGTATTTAATTTGAAAGACATTTGTATGAAATCATTCTTCTAGAATTTGAATGCCTGTGACTGTATTATCGGAACACCGTAATAAACGTCATTCCATTACAAATTGGTCGTCAGAATTTTAATAGCTTACTGTATGGCCAATAAACTCTAAAAGTTTCATGTGGTTGAAATCTCATGAAAATATCAATATATTTCTCTCTCATTGTTTTCACTTCGCTATATTCATCTAGAGCCTCAATTTCACTATGAAAGAAACAGTGTTGATTAGTAATCTATTAATACCATTTTACTAATATTTGCAGTAAATATATCAAGTAATTAATTTTATTCAAATATAAAAGTAGTAAATTAATTAGGATAGTAAAATGAATACATTAAAATAAGTTGATTAATAATAGGATTTGCAATGAAGACAAAAATAAAACTACATCATATCCAGAAAAATAATCAAGAAATTTTAAATGTACCATACATTTTTTATTCAATTATAACCTTTTCTGTACCACATCGACCAAAGTTTTCTGGTGAATACATTTCTTCAGCCTTAGCTGGCGGAATGATAAATGTTCCAGCACATGTTGCACGCATTATATAACTCCATTCATATACACCAGGCCATAATAATGATCGAAATGCTTCAGCACGTTCATCTCTTAAATTTTCATGCTCAGTCCAACCAATAGTTGAATATGGTCGACATCCACAATAATGAAGATTTCTGTTTGATCTTGTTACTGATGATTGTGTATCGCCAGTCAATGTACCTTTTAATTTTGTATTTAATGGTTCACAACCAGCTGGTAAATAATCAACTAATGCTATATGATATCGTCGTTGTGTTGCTGTCATTATTAATATGACTTTGATTTTTTCACCTAACAGGAATTTCCATGTACCATCTGATTGTTTCTGAACATGTGATGAATCATTGATAGCTACGTATGTGCGTTCAATTTTAAAACCATAGTTAACTGCATTTAATTGTAAATTTGATGGAGCATAATTCAATGCAATACGATAATATAATCGACCATTACCATCTTTCTGCATAATTAGATTCTTATTGTTATTTGTGTCGGATGATGATGGTGATAAGATTACTTTCATCGGAATATTTACTGTATGTGTATTTGTCGTTCGGCCTTTATATTAAGACAAAATATTAGAATACATTAGATATTGTGAAACCATCATTTAGTAGTATTTGAGATAAAAATAAACGCTATCCAAAAATATATTGAATAATATAGGAATATGAATTATTGCTAGAAGTCACAAACTAATAAATATAAGGGTTAATTTGTCTTCATATCATACATGAAGTTAAAGAAATAATTCAAATTCTTTTAGACAAGAACTGAAAACTTATGAAAGCTAGAGTTTAGCATACCTATATTTAGAAATAGATAGACAGAAATCATTTCTTGTAGGCAAAGATAACTTATTTAACGAATCTTGAGGTCTAACTAAAACTTCTACATGGATAAGTATATTATCTGGAAAACCACATTCCATTTTGATCTCAATTCTTTTGTAATGCTGCTATATGACTATAATTACATTCACAATATTGGTGATCAAATCATCATTGTTCTTAAGATATGATCTTACCTTTATATGGATGTTGACCACAATAATCATTATCAAACCAAATATTAGCAACAAAATTTGGTGTATCTTTTTCTTTTATGTGAAAATATTTATCTAATGCAATTAATACAAAACAATTTTCCTGTGTAGACTTCCATGCACCTTTCACTTTATGTGCTTGTAAACCTTTACATAATTTAGTACAGAGAGTTGAATTTGGATCAATATATAATAATGATTCTAATAATATAGCATCTGTTCGTTGATTTGAATGTAACATGACTGATTGACCATCATCACCATATGATGTAATAAAATTAACTGTTTCACTTGTTTCACTTACTTTACCTTTGAGATGTTGGTATATTATTTCAATTATTTGATCTTTATTATTATTTCTATCCGTTGATAATGCTATTAATAGCCATCCTAATGCTTCTAAACTAAGTTTATCAAATCCACTACGCTGAAATAATTGTGAAGCTTCGTCAGCTACATTTTGAAGATGTTTTGCTCGCACATATAATGCATAACTTATCAAACTAAATCGAGTTAAGTCAGACCAATATTTAGTGTATGATAATTGATTAATTTCAGATTCAATATTTTCAAGATATTTTAGTGAGTTGTTCAGCATGTTCTTGTTAACATTAAATACCTGTAAATAATGTAACATTTTTGAAAGATATGGTTGACATTTAAAAGTTTTTTATAGTATAGTTTTAAGTGGAATGCATTCCATGTAAAAAAAGAAAGATTATAAAAATGACAGATTTCATTTGATGTAATCTTTCTTAATCTGTTTGAATTGGTTAAAAAAGTCTAATCAATTATAGTTGATTTAATAATAATAATCGATTCAAATAAATTAAAAAGGATTAAATCAAATGAAAGTTATCTTTAAATGCTAAAAAATTTGATTAAAGTCAGATTATAGTAATGCAGTTATAATCAATTTTTAACCTTTGTTTTTTACATAGGATAATGGAGTTTCACACAGAACTTTCTCGAGCGTGCAGTATATCTTCACCTACACAACTGATATTTATTTCGCACTATTTTGAACAAAGAATTCAAATTTTTGTGAATAAATCATTTTCACAATTTTAAAATGAATTAGATGCTCTATTCTTGTAATAATTGTATTAATAGTCATTTATACAATAAAACTCTTACCTTTTTATTCACGAGAACGGCTAAACAGTGTGCAACATGTACACTCATATATGGATCAGCATAACAGTCATTTCGATTTGTCCAATAACCAAATCCACCATTTGAATATTGACGACCTTTTAGTGTATTCAGATCTGACTCTAATTTAGTTTTCAATACTGATACTTCAGGTAAATCTTTCCAATGAAATGCTTGTAAAACATCCCATAGTGATTGTATACCTAACAGTCTTGAACTTAATTGTTCTGTACATTCATATGGATATGTATAGAGTGAAATAATTGCATCTGTTAATGATGCTAATGCTGTTGAACTTGTTGTTATTGATAATTCACCAAATTGTGGAATAACATTTTTTGGTGTCTCTACTGGTTGTAAAACTACTTCTTCTTCACATATATCACCGTATGTTGCAAATGCTTCAGATGTTGCTGGTGTGAATACAGGTACACTTAGTTCAATAGCATCACCGAATTGTGTACATGTTTCATTCTTGATAGTACTAATTATGAACTGGAATCGAGCTGTACCAGAATGAATTGTTGATAATGGAAATGTAAGAGCAGCACGTTTACTTGGTTGCAGTACAATTGCATAACCAACTGCTTGTTGATTTATTTGTGACGTTAATAATTTAGCATTAGTTGCTCTTAAACCAGCATGTAGTAAGAAGGATAGATCAGTTTGATTTTGTAAAATAACTGAGATATGAGCTGTATCACCATAATTAAGAAATCTTGGCGGTGAAGGCCGAATCATAATTGGTAATTGTACAGTAAATGACATTTCACCTAAGCCATATTGTTTATCATTCGTTGCTACCGCCCATACACGATAGCGTGTTAGATTATCAGGTAATTTAATTTCAAATGAAACACGTCCTGATGAATTAGTGATAGAGGATGGTATCCAACATGCTAGTGGATTGAAATTCGATCGAACAGCTATTTTTTTTTCAACATTAGACTCATCGAAACCGCCATGTCCGAAAGCTGCTGAACAGGCCATAGGCATACAGTCATACATCGCTCTTGCACTGAGCGATTCGCAGAGCTCGAATGAAGATTGTCTTTGTTGCATATCTTTCTTAAATTTTTCTATATCTTGCATATTGAATAACAAACAACGATTTCTATCATGGTATTGTGTGATATTTGCTGGCTGATTAGGATAAAATATATCTAATGGACTATCTAATTTGTGACCAGTTAATGACAAAACCGCTTCATCAACGACAATGAGGCAGACTTCTGCTTTGCTCATAGGCGAGTTATCTACATGTTGTGTAACGTCGACATCTATATGAATAATTGATGATGGTGTATATGTTTTATTAGTTTCTTTTGTATTAATCAAAACATTCAACTTATAACTATCTCTTGATACTTCTACTGTTACTGAACCAGTAGCGATTGCTGGTCGATGTGGTGAATTAATCACTTCAGTTTCTCTTGGAATTGAGCCTGTTAATTCAGCGTGAACTGTGAAATTTGGTATCCAATCTTTTGATATTTTAAATTCAATAGTTGCTGAATTTTTTCCAGTTTCTATCTGAAATTGTATCGGTTGTGAGACCTGGCCACCACAGTCAAATATAACTAGACCATTCGCTGGACTAAACGGTGCTAGTATTAGTAATTCACATGTGTCATCTGGTTGATAATTTTTTGCATTTGCTACAATTGTGATTGTATCAGTTGGAATATAATCTACCTTTTGTGTTTCTATTTCTTTTTCGTAACCACCAGAGACATAAAAATTATCATAGAAACTCATAGCCAATCGTCCTTGTTCATCTTTGACACTGTATGACATGTGGTATCTACCCCCTAGTATTAAACAAAACTTTAAAAGCTTTGCCAACAGAAGCATATTGATCATTTTTCAAATAACAAATCGCTGTTAGCTTGTCCTCAACTCTTAGTATATACTAACTTTTTATGTGATCGCTTGGCAGTTACATTTTTTAGAAAAAAAAATTGAAGAATTTTCTATTACTATTTTAATTCACTTTTCATCTCTTTAACTATAATAAGTAGAGGATCAGCAAGATCTAAACTCTTAAGGCATTTCTTTTGGTAAAACGAAACAGTGAAAAGATATCATGTACATGAAAAGTGATGAATTGTCTGTGATGACGTTTATAATATATTCTCAATACAAGATGATACATGAATACACATAATTCTGCTATCTCTACTATATTACAGATAAAGGTTTCATTTCTGAAAAGTATGGGTCAAAGATGAGAGGATTGAAGAGCGTGGAAAGAATAGAACCAATAATAGAATATAAATACAAACCTCATTCTATACAGTATCACTACAATACATTTCAATCCATTCTCATCGCTGTTTCATTTGAAGAAAGTATCAATCGATAGAGCTTGGAATTCTGCATTCATAAGACTCCAAATCAAGCCACTCTCTTTAAAATAAGCCTTTGATGTAAGAATCCAATATCATTTCGATGGATTCACTCTAACCTATTCACAAGTATGCCAAACCATTTTAAGCTACTACAAAGTTTAGGATGAGTTGGAATGGCTTCTTAGCATGGAGTGGATTAGAGCAGGCCTATCGAAGTGATCGTTCATTCTTTCATCAAAGCTTTTGTTTTAAAGGTAATGTATTGATGTGGGTTATCATAACTGCAAAATTTCAAGCTCTATCGATGAATACTATATTCGAGTTTAACGGCAGTCAGAGTAGGTTCAAGTGTATTTACCTGTACTCCATTCTTCAAATTGTGTACTGTTTGATTATTTAGCTTTAGTCTTAATGGACCAGAATTAGCATAAAAACATATATTACGAGTGCCGTAGCCATATAGCTAATCCATAAGAAAAAATTTCAAAACTATCATCTGTATTGTTCTGTGTAAATCGATCCTCATATTGATCCTTAATTTAATTATAAAATATGTCTTCAATAACAATGGAGAACACCCAAGACGAACCGTGAGATAGTATTCACACAGACTTTCGAAGAAATAGACACAGGTGCTTCTTACTTACAAAGTGTGTACTAAATGTGTCCAACTTATTTTACACGTAAAATGTACATACTACATATTATATCCATGTTTATATGCTCAAAGAATTTACAAATATGCTAATTGACTACAAAAAACAACTATTTACAAGTTAATAAAATTAAATAGCATCGCTTATGCTCATGTGAAAATGATAACATACTTTAATATACAAAATTATACTCTGATGAACTTCGACTTAATTTTTTCATCATAAGTTCAATTTTTTACCTACCTAATTTTGGTATGTAATCAATGTTGACTGCATCCTTATTTGAACTAACAACTGTTAATGTTTGCTCATCTTTTATTTCTTCAAATACTGTTAAACCATTTTCATCTTCTTTTCTTTCCTTACCATATCCAGTTACTTTACATTCAATCAAAATATTATCAATTAAATTTCCATCAATATCTGTTACAATGACTTTTGTTTGTACAGATTTATGTTTCTTGCCGTAATTTGTTAATAATTGAAATCCAACATAATATGTACATGGATGTATGATAAATTGTGTTTTTGTTTCCTGTGTTTGATTATTTAAATCAGTAACGGCTGCTAATGCATGAACAATTGTTGTTCTTGGCTCTTGTTCAATACCGTGATAACTAATTTTTATTTCATGTATACCTTTATTGTTTGTTTGACCCTGAAAGTAAATCAATGGAATCACTTGATAAACACATCGATTGAACTATTCTCTGTTGAATTTATAGAATATTTAATGATGTTCTAAAAACTCAGCTTGCAAAACGTGAAGTTCTTGAGATCTTTCACATTTTTACATCTTACATCATAGTACAAAAACTCTTTACAATATAGATTCTTTGTTAGAGTTTTCGATTATTTACCAAAAGAACTACGTAGTTTTCGTCCAATGATTTATAAATACGTGTTTGCCACAATTTTAGACTTCTTACTTTGCGAATCATGATAATATTGTAGTAGTTTTAGGAACATCAAGGATCGCAAGCCAAGTGAAGATTAACTCGGAGACAAACAACTCATAGAAAATCCAGAAATGAGCAGTTTAATGACTATTTTTACATAGACACATTCTCATTATCTGGTAAAAGAAACAGATAACAGACGCTTTGATGGTCAAGATTGATGCACGTTTTATGTCTATTATACATTTTGAAAAATGCTTCATAATAGCAGTCCTTCGTTGACTGGTCAAAACTGACTTTCTTATGAGTGCATGAGAGGATGGTAACAACGAAAAAATGAAAGTCAGCATGAACGGCAATTCTTCTTCGAATTAATGCACAATGACTGAGGGGGGGGAGGCTTCTTTCTGACTGACCACATACTCAAAAATAGTTAGAAGAGTCATACACTAGTGGACAATGTTCATCTCAGAAAGATTGTATCTTTAGCTGTTTAATACTTCATCTATATGCATATTTCAGTAAAATATTCATATACATTTTGTATTTCTGTTAAGAACAAATTATCTCATTTTCAATCATGTAGTACTTGAGAAAAGTGCTGAAACTGGTATATGTCTGCTTCTATCTGCAGCTTTCAATATATTTTGTGTCTGTTAACTAACTGTTAACAATTCATCATATCTAGTCGTAGTGCATATTTGTTTCAATCTAATTCGAAATTGCTTTTTCTAAGAGCAAATAGCTCTTTTGTGCTTAAATTAATATTATTTTACTTGAAAATACTTTTCTGGATATGAAATTTCAGTTTGATTATTATTACCAAACCAGCAAAAGAACGGTTGAGCTCTACCAAATATATAGTCAGATCTTTTAGGTGGTGTAAATGTTGTTGTTTCAGCTTGTACTGTCCATTGAACATTTGCATCATTTAAATAACCACCAGCAAATAATTTTCCTTGACAAGTAGCTATGACATATTCATCAGCGATTGGATGACAATAACGTGCTATAGTTGGTCGAATCATTGATGAAACTTCATATTCTGGTTTTCTGAACTCTTGAACTTTAAAAGAATGCATTGTGCTAGTTTGTGAATCTGGTAAACTGAGCGTTACGTATCCATCACCTAATCATGATAGAAATTCAAAATTAATCAACTCTTCTTTATATTTACAAACTTTTACAAGAATAGTCTTTTAAGAAACTATGTACATAAACAGCTGAGTACAGAGATATACATTTTTAATTGTTAGAGATTATTACTTGTTCTGTATTTTCAACCATAATGAAGAGATATTAGACAACAATGATGTTTATTTAGGTCTTTTCAATATGTACTTAATATATGGTTGAATTTGTTTCTGTCTCCGAAGCAGTATAACACTTTCTGTTACACAGCGTCTCATATGAAACGACGAAACTCTTAAAATAAGTCAGAAATTTGGTTACAGGCTTGTATGCAACTATCATGATGTGTAAAGTAGTCTGAGTAGGTTGAGTACATCGCAGATACTAACTGATCAAAACAGAATAAGCGAAGGATGGTGACTTTTTCCTTAAATTATGTTGGCGTGTTGAGATATTTTGTCTTTTAAATCTTTTGCTGCGAAGTAAATATTATTACGCGTAAGTTTCACATACATGACAAAACCAGACTAAGGTAGGATGGGGTGTCGGCTGCAAGTATTTATGTATCCAGCCAAGAGTGCTGTGCGAATGTGAAAAACCAAAATCGATTACAACTACGTGTGTTTAACGATTGTTTAAGCTAATGGTCAGCATATAAATAAAACACAGCTATGTAGGCTACTTATTCTACTTTGCACATACAACCTAGTAAGTAAAGATAAAAGTACAATATAGAATATATCAGAATTATTATATCCGTTCAATATTGACACAGAATCGAGATCATTTATTTGTTAAACTTTTCTCTTTCAAAACTCATTGCAGCAGAGCTATATTTAAAGATTCTGAACGACTAGAGTTTGTTGAAATATATACGTCATTAAAAAAAATCAGTCAATTTGTTCTATAATTATTAAAGAGACCATATTGAATGAATAGATCGAATTCAAGTTTTTGTTATTATATTCTAAGATGAATAATATCTCAATGTTGTTAGTGACTTTATCATATGTTCATACATGCAATTAGTGAAAGTTTTCAAATGAACAATAATGTTCACTTCAATAAGAAGTCTCAGAAATTTTAAACTCGTCGACATATAACGATATCATTATTTAAATAGAAAACTCATTTGATCATCTTCTCTTTTTTCTTACAAGTGTCTCTAAGTATATGAATTGTCGACTTTTTATGAAAACTCAGTAGGTGATATCATTTCATTACAATTTATGAACACCTGATCTGATCGACTTATAAATTTTATCATGTGTATTAGACAACATTACACAAGTATATGCTTTTTTTCATTCTATTATCTTTTCTTTCATCAACATGGCAAAAACGCTAAGAAACGTCTTAAAGTTTCTAAAACTTGAAAAAAATAGGCGATAGAAAGAAACAAATCTACACCTAGATAATGTTATCTAGTATTTACGATAAAGTTTTGAATTTGATTAAATCAAGATATTATGAAATTTCAATGGGAGTGGGTTGAAATAACTGTAGAAAACACATAGTGAAGAAAATGTATGTTGTAGATAGGGCACTTATCTCAGAACATTTATCTTGATGCTTGTATTTCTATCAGAACTCATCAAAGAATTCTAAAAGACATATTTTTGTGTGGACAACATATTTTTCTATCGAGCCATTTGAAAACTTTCCGAATGTACACGTGAAAACGACAATCAAACTTGAGTTTTCGATTTTAATTGTACACTTTTTACTTACAAGAGTCTCTAGGAGTTCTTTACAGTTCTCTAAAAACTTCTTAAAAACTTGAAAACCAATCATCAAATTAGTTATTCATAAGGTTTATTAATCCATAAACTCTTCAGTTCAAAAACAAAAAGATTTTTCTAAAGAACTGCAAAAGACCTTCAGAAATATGAAATTAGAAAAGTTATAAAATCATTCTTTTTTATCTAAAATGCCTGAAATTCTTAAGAAATCTTTCGAAGAGTTTTTTGTGACTTAAGAATTTGCCATAAGATCTCAGAGACTTCTCGGACAGTCTCAGATATAAATGATCATTCTAGAAAATTTTTGATAGCGATAAAATGTCGACAAAAACAATTCTCTATATTTTCTGAAAATCTTAATAGTCTTAGTAGGAAATAATAGTTTTATGATTGTTCGATAAATATCGAAACATGCGGTGTTGTGCAATGCAGTAGTCGATTATCTTTCAGTACATTTATGATGAAAAATCATATTATAATTTTTTACGAAAACATTTATTGCATGCAGAACAATTCATTAGCATTAATTCGTATAAGTATTCACTTGAGGAACTCACTACACATAAAATGAGTTTCATAAGCCTCTCATGGAAAAGTTTCTGCAAAAACAACTATAGAGGTTTAAAGACCTTGGTAGAGCTTTTCACTAATGAATTGCTCTCAACAGGCTATTTAGTTGTAAATAAAAGGATAAACTACCGTAGTGAGCATACGTTATTTTAACTACTTATTAGGTAACATCTCAAAATGAAACTTATAACTGTTTTGCATGGAACTATAACTATAGATTTTTATTGTCAATGAAACTATGCAATAATGAAATGTCTATAATCATCGTTGAATGTATTTTACAGTTTTAATAAAGAGATTCAGCACTTGAACTTTTAGTTAAAATTTTAAATAAAACACTTGCCCGCTCGTCAAAACAATTTCAGAGTGTATGCAGTTCAGTTTTCTTTATAAAATGGTAACTTTTGAGTATAAAAATAGGAGATGTGAATTCTCTCCTTAAACTCTTTTAACGTGAATAGTCGATGAGTTTCATTCTTATCTACAATGCTAATAACTTCTAAACCAATGCTTTAGGGTTAGCTATCTATTGATTATGAACAACCATTTAGAATGGTAGGTACTAATGAAATGGACTTAAAGAGGTGAGCCTTGCGAAACAAGGATAGTCCTTTTTTGGCGATTAAATGCCGCAGAAACATGAAAAAGTACAATCATCGAAGCTAATGGATATAAAACAAGTAGATGCAACTTAAGTTGAAAGACTTCACACGCACCAAAAAAAACTTCTAATGAAATTTTCGTTGCTGCAAAAGAAAACGACAGAACGTCAAATATAATATTTGACATTGCTTTGACTGATGCTTTTGAATACGTCAGTCGTCTTGCTTGCAAATATATGTTAAGTGAAGAGATGTAGGATACGTGAAATACATGAAGGCTAAAGATGGGGAAAGCAATAAATACAAACATACAACTTTACCTAAGTTAACATTGTCAGGTAATGTAAATTTTATATCAAATGCACCATAATTATTCAATTCCACTTTTGACTGTTGAAGTTGTTGACCACGAGGATCATAAATTGTATAATCAATTGTACCTCGAGCATAAGTTGGTAATTTTGCTTCGCCTTTTACTTTCAGCAATCGAACATAACCTTTTATATGTAAATCTTCCTTTGGTTTATATAAACCGCGATCATTAAATACATGCCAAACATGAGCATTAAGATCTGATGCATAAGTATCAATATTTACTGACATACATAGATCATCATCTTTTTCTACGACTAATGTTCTATTTTCTCTGTTTTCTACTTCTTTTCTTTCATCGTTCTCTGTCGTGTACTTTTCAATGATACATAGTCCTTGTTGATTTGTTGCTTTTTTTTTATTCGATATTGAAACAGTTGCTTGATTGATGGGCGCACCAGTCATTAATTCAGTAACCCATGCAGTCAAAGTGTTGCTCGTGCCTACAAAAAAAAAATAAGTGTAACCAGTACAATTGTTCTTCGATAGTAAAATAACAGGATTTCGACAACTCCAAAACACTTTTAGCTACACTGGTGAAGACAGGCAAACTTAAAGAAATGAGAAAAGAGTTATAATAGAATGTGCCTGTGGGTGTGCGACTGTAGATTTAATCCTTTCACTGACCGACACCCATTCACTTATGAGCTTCGGTTCAAATCTTATTAATATATAATATTTAACATCTTAGCTCAGTCTCATTGTTACTCTTCTATTAACATATTCAGTAAAATGATTTTAATTATGAGAATAGATGTGCTACTATCTACGAAAATTCTAAGATAGTTCAATTGAAAATTAATAACTATTTCTTTCTCGTAGTTCGTTCATTTTATTTTTTGTTTTCTAGGAAATTTTCTGGATAATTTTCAGCATAATTAAATGTCTAGTAATGTCTACTTAACCTTAAGTTATATTTATTGGTTGGGATGAATTCAATAGTATGAATTGAAATCAAATTGTCTACTTTTCTCTTAATTTATAAGTACCTGAAGAAACAAATACATCGACTGCTAATCGTGTACATTGTAGCCAGACTGATATAATTTGTCTATACTGCCAATTGTTGTCTTGACATTCACTCAATGCTTTTTTTGTTGGTTCAATTAATATAATTAATTGACCTACTCCAGAGTTTTTCGTTAAATATGCTCTCAAAGGAACTCTTATTTCTTTCGGTTCATCACGTTCACAGTTTGTTTGTACAACTTCATTTAGCAACTCTTCACCAGGTAATTTATTATACCATTCTTGTCCTTCATAGATGTAAGAGTGTGAATTAAAACATGGTAAATTTGGATGATAATGTTCTGGTTTCACTCGATGAATACGAAGCGTTACTTCTGAATAATTATAAACCATAAATGGATAGAATGGTTCATCTAATACACCAGGATCCATTGTAATCATACCTAAAACAAACTTCTCTTTTTATTTGTAATCAATGTTTCTTGCTGTATGAGACGAATTCGTATTTTATAGTAGACAACATTCATGTCTGAAAACTTTTGTTTTTTCAAAATTCTATTTTTTTTATTATTTTTTTGTGCTATACCTGTTGCACCCGATATATTTCCAACTAATGATGGTGTATCATGTACGTGAAATTGAATTAGTTTATCAGAATGATCATGTTCGAATGTTTGATCATGAATATCTTTCAATGATGCTGATTGTATAAATAGTGTATAAACAGTATTTGATTTAGAATTATTATAGAATGTGATTTGTCGATCATTGTGTTGTGTATGTTCAATACCTAAAATAAATTTTTATTTCATGTTGGTTTTTCTCTATAGATCAAAAGCACACATCTTATATTGTTAACATTTTGTTAGTGAACTACCAAATATACAGTAATAGGGATCAATGATGATGTTTACTAGATAAGTTCATATAACCTATCAAGAAAACGTCATCATCTTTGTTTACAATTACACATTCATTATTAACACACAGACATAGGAAAATGTGTCATGAAACAAGTTTCGTTTATAATTACCTAAACCATTGACTTCTGGTTCGAATTTGAATAATGATTTATTAATTGTTGAATGATCTAATGAATTATTGAATGTTAGTGTCCAACTATGACCAGGAGCAGCAGATGGTTGCCATGTGTTCTTTATATTTGGAAAGCAATCAATTATTTTTAAAGGTTCATAAGTATGAAAGCTAGCTGACCACTCTGATGTTGTCTTTAATGGACCTTCGGCTGATGGACAGGCTACAGATACTTGAATTGTATATTGCGTTGCTTTTAATAAATCATGTTTGAATGTAAACGCAATATATTTTTCATAATTTTCTTCATTAGCATTCATAAACGATTCAAATTCACTTTTTGCTATTGTTTCATTTACTAGTTCTAAGTCTTCGTTTTGTATCGTATGTCCATCACTGTGCCCTACACGTAGATGCTTTAAAATTTCATTCCTATCAATTTTTTGATTAAATAAAAGAAAACATTTAGGTTTCAATGTTGATACTATTCCATGTGGTAAGAATTGAAGAACTTTTGGTGCCGTTGTTGAGAATTGAAAGACAAACTCATCATCTAACTTTCCTAAAACCAATAAGAATATCAAAAATGAGTGTAAAATATAAACCACAAGCCAAACACATCATTCTATAGTCTAGAAAACTTCTTTTGCGGACATTGTGCGTCTGTCGAGCCTCATCGGTACATCCGACAGTAGAAACACTCGTACAAATGCTAATTGTGTCATCGAGGATCGCATCATTTTGAAAAACAGCAAATGTCTCGATATAACTTTTATAGTTCAAAATAAAACTAATTTAATTAATTTATTCAATACTACTATATAATGTATTAAAATTATTCGTAATATCACGTGTATGTAAACGAGTACAACAACAATACATCACACTAATATGTTTAATTTCCAATAAATTAATCTTTTACATATGAAAAGCCTTCTTATTAAAGACGAGGTTTTTGTTTGCTAGTACAAGAAAGTAATATAGATGCTTTCGTTGACATTTTCTTTTACAATGATTGAACTAGACGTAAGAAATGACTTGAGATAATTAAAATGAAAATTTTCCGATTACATTGTCAACAACTCTATCTTTTATTTTTGCAACTGCTTCTTCTCAAAAAATTATTAAAGTTCTTGCATTAAAACCTTAAAGTTGAGGAAAATATAAATTTATTCTCATGTTTCTCAATATTCAAATTTCTTTTTGCTTATCTTTTACCCACCCTACAAAAATAACTCTAGCCGGGTTCTTTTCATTAGTATAGACTCTTACAGAACATTTGCATTTCTCTCTAAAAGTTACATTAATATGAGATTTAGCGTGGATGACAACCTATGTTTTCACGTATATCTGAACGTCATCACACTTTTGGACATATAGAAATCTAAGAGCTTCAGGAAAATAGTCGAAGCTTGTTCTATAAAACAGGTTGTCTTCAAACTCTTTCAGAGTTGGGTTCAATATAATTTTTAAAAACTACTTTTACTTAGACAACCATAGAACAAAGTCTCCTTTTTCAATTACACACTAAGATAAAATGTGTCGCATGTGTCGTACTTTGCGACACAATGTACGACTTATTAATATGCGACACGAGGAGCTCGTTGCGACACATTTCTTCCAGCGGACGTACGACACATTCTTGTGCGACACATGCGACACATTTTTAACACGTGGTTCGAATCCATTTTTCGGCACGAGGATTATTTATTTTTGAAAATTCGAATAGTTACTATTTTTTCAGTTAATTTCAAATAGTAGCACCTATTCTTGGAGTTCAAGACAGTAGATCTTAAGATCTAGCTGTCTCGAGACCATTTTATCTCTATCAGACTACTTCGAGGCAGTCCATTCTCGATCTTCTAGTGACCTCTCGACATGTTCTCGAATAATAAATGGTCGAGAAATAATCTAGAAAAAAAAGACATACGAAAATGTATAGGTCAAGTACGTCCAATATGCTCGGTTATATGCAGCTGCACTCGCGAAACAAAACGGTGAATGAACGATTGACATATAGGCTATGACGCATCTATAATGCAACACACTTTTGTACGACACATTTTTATAATGGAGTCTGCGACACATTCTTGTACGACACATATATACGACACATTTTATTTTAGTGTGTACCGAAAACAGTTAGTCTTTGTCTTTTATTGTTTTTAAGAGTTTTCTCTCCTTTTTAACATCTACGAAAGCTTTGGAAGTCGGTATTCGATCGAGTTGAAATTCTTACCAGAGAAAGAAATGTTCTTCTGTGAATTGTTTGGTAAACTCTAGTTATCATCCAATCATTTGAAGAAGTCTCAAAAATTGATCTGATCGAGCTGAAATTATTACCACATATACTTGAGTCTGTGTCTCAGATTCTCACGTTTTTTTTGAAACATTTTTTTTTCGCGAGATATTTAAAAAATACTAAAAATCTGCTATGAAAAATCGATTTTTTTTTATTGTAAAATTCTTTACAAACCGAAGGTTGAAGTCAAAAACGCTTCAAAAATATTACAGCCTTGAGATAGAATCTGAAGTATCTGCAATAAAGGTTTCAGCTCGATTGGTACCATTGTTTCGACAGGTTGTAAAATGACTGGTTGAAGGAGCTATTGAAAACATGCATACAGAAAAAAAAACTCATGGTTGTACATAGGTCGTGTTCGTCGCTATGTTTATATTTGCACGCAGTTCATCGGAAAATTCTGTGAGACTTCTCGTTTTAAAGAAAAGACTTTCTTCTATTAGAATATGCGAAAGAGAAGTTTATGAAACTAAAAATTTGAGCTTTTTTAGATTTTAAAGAACAAATTTTAAAAAGCATAACGTTTTAGAAGAAGGAGGTAGACTGCTCGGAACGGTCTCACTTTGTAGGCCAGACTTTCTTTCACCTTAAAATATATTCATTTCAAAATCAAAAGATTTTTTCTTTTAGATATGTTTGCTAACTTTTATAGTTTCAAATTAGTTTACCTCCAATTGCTGATACACAATGTTCTTTGTCGACTCTTAATGTATAATTTGTTGAATATGGTAAACGATGTTTTGCTTCAAATTGAAGTGTTTTTGTTCCTATCCATCTCCATCGACCTTCTATTTTTGGTGTTAATGATATGCCTAGATCTTCTGTATTCATTTTATCATCTAATGATGAAACAGCAATCATTGGTTGATTAAATGTCAATGTAATAGTTGATAATACATAATCAATTTGCGTTTCACTAGGAGAATATCTTTCAATGATTAGTGGACCTGCTTCTTGTTTAGCTAACTGTTTCAATTGTTCAATATCAATGTCGAAATCTTCTATGCGGTCTGATAGAAGAGGTGGAAATGGAGTTTGTATTACTTTACTTGTTTTTGGTGTTTTAATTGTTGCTTCACGTTTAAAAAACTCTTGCTCATCTGCCAATTCTGCAATCAATTCACAACTAGCTTGACTGAATAAGTGTTGTAATTGATCTGGAGTTAAGTTCTGTTGCTGTGAATTATCATTTAATGGTATCACTTCAACATCAGTCGTAACTTCATCATCCATTTCATTTGCTTCGTCAATATTAAAATGAAACCGATGGGACTTCAATTGTTCATTTTCGAACGTTAGATTTTGTATCCGTCGCATACCTTTCATGAGACTACGTTAATAGAATGAAGAAATAGTAGAGCTGTAGTTTAATCTACAAAGAGAATAGAATATAAAATGCAACTGAATATTTCTAAATTAGACGAATGTCACAATAATATAGAGTTGGATTTGGTTCTGGGTAGGCGTGCGTATGGGAGCATACCTGTAGGTTTAGTTGAAGCATTGACCCACACCCCACATTCTGAAATATTAAGAAATAGTTTGTGAAGAAGGATCCTTCATAAAGAACAATGGTGGACAAATATTTTTCATTTAAATTCAGTTCAATGTTAACGCTCAGTTTTATGCGCAAGAATCATTCTAAAGAGAATGTTCGAATGACACATACCTCGCTTTGCGATAAAGAAAGAAGTATCATATTTCTATGACTTTATTCATCGCTTGCTATCGACAGCCATAATAAAAGTCCTATCAACACGCACATCTTTCATGCACAATTACATGTAGCGCAACTATTGGTAAAACTGCTTCCTTCGCATACTTCGACTTCGAATAAGATAAGTGAATAGGTGAAAAACGAAATATGAATTATAATATTGTTTCTATCGGAACTTTTCTATTCTTGGTCAATCAGACTTTTTATATACTTATATAGACTTTCAAGACATATTTGATTGCACTGTCTTGTTCTTCAAACAAGTAATATTAAAACTTACGATAAAAAAATTATATCGTTATTTATGAAGACTAGACATATTCGAGTCAAATTAAAGCTCTTCTCATGTCCAATTATGGGTGCGGATGTGAGTAGATGGAATATGGGATCTTCAAGTGGCAGTAGGTATGATCGAGATGAAAACATCTATCCTCACATACACCCATACTCTAAACCAGGTTTACTTTGACGCCTGATGAACATAAGCTAGCTAATTGCATGCAATATATTGAGCCAAGATAATGGTGTGCAGTAGCTAAGCGACTAGAGACCGTTTTCTGGAAAATTGGAGACCTACGATTGAATGACCAGTCAGCGAAAAACATATCCGGTTGACAGGGTGTATCATATACCTATTAAACTAGTTGGGAAGAGTTTTAAAACGCTTTAGAGATTGTATAATCATTTAAACTGGTCCATCAAACGTTAACAATATTTCTAAATTTTGAATTTTCCACTTTATAAAGAGACCTAAAACGGCACCAAAACTCGGCAAAACAGTAATAGCCCATTCATCTTCATAATCGCATCCAACATACTCTATTCCTAGCCGTCCACTAAGTTTGAGATCAGCGGTGATCGAGATTCATCGCTGCAAGAGATTTTTATTCATGAGATCCTCGTTTTTCTTCTTTGTTCTGTTTTGTTTCAAGAAACATGACACCATCATTCTCCTTCAGTGGTCTCATGTATCGCTCTCCATGATTCTACTTTCTTCTACTTACCTTTCTGCACATTATTAATCATGATCAATATTTGAAGTAACTACAAAAAATAAGAGAGAGAACATAAATATTTTCCCCATATGGAATTTTGTTGTATATACGGCCCTCTACACCGTCAGATTCTCCTACGGAGATTTCGGGTAGTTAAGTAAGAAAAATGCTAATATTAAGATATAAAATAGGGAAAAGAATATTCATTCAATTGTGGATCTTAAAACAAAATCCTCTTATTAATTTACCAGCGACGAAGAACGCGAATAAAAAAATGGCATCATCTTCTCTCTCATCTTCTTCTCAAGTACTTCTTCGTGGTCGCATTCAATGGTACTATAATTTAATAGAGAGTCTTTGGTCTTCTGCTGTTGATGAATGGCAACAGTACACATATGTAGAAAATGAAATCATTGAAGATGCATACAACGAGAAGTTAGAGATTGAAATTGATAATGATCAGGTTATTGAGTTTGAATGTCAAGTACAACACGCGAAAAATGATAAAAATAAATAACATCCAATAAAATGAGTTCAATTTCAAACAGATCTCGGTAATGTGCATTTGAGAGGAGAGAGATTTTCGTCGCCCATAACACTCGCTACAGAAATAACACGTTCAGGCAGCATGCCACAACCTCCTTGTACACTCACGTCAGTGTTGCGAAACAATATTGTGATATTGAAGCTGTTTTTAGCTTTAAAACGATAACTAGGATTATTGAAGATGCTATATAAGGAATAATTAAAACAGGAACTGACCTTGGTAAAAGAAGAAAAGAAAGCTCAGTGGTTAGCTCGAAAATTAGAAAGTGTCAAACATTATACTAATTCAGATGGTTGGATTCCACGAAATATTGAACACGCTATTATCTTCATTTGCACGAGAAATTCTTTCTGGTACAAATTCGTCAATTGTCTTCTTCATGATCTTAGCACAATGACCGCTGAACAAACAGACACAATAGGACCATCTTGCTATGTATTACACAATTATTTACGGCTCGTAAAACAAGAGTGCACAGAAGGTCTCCTTGTGTATCGTGGCGTCGAACTGACAGACAAGCAGCGACAAAGTTTTATGAAAATATATATGAAATTCACTTCTTTCACATTGACAAGTAGAAGACGAGATTTATCTGAACTAATAATTTGGCAACACTCTACTAATCATTGATCTAGACGAAAAAATATTTAACGTTCCACCTTCAGAAAGGATTCGTTGCGGAGTGGATATTTCATGCATATCTAATTTTCCGGAGAAAGTAAAATTCCTGATATGGCCAGACAGAAATTTCATATTTGTCAAATATGAATATGATGCAGTAAGAGATAAACATATTATTCATCTTAAAGCGGCTAGGGAGAATTTTTAATTCGTCCTTTTCCGATTTCTTTGCTAGACATCCCATGTAAAAATGATGAATACAACATTTCAACACCAACTAAGTCCGGTCACATCAACATTGTCTTTTTTTTATTCGATTTTCTTTGTCAATTTTTATAAAAGTGTTTTGTTCATACCTGACATCGGAATATTTTAAAACTTTTCCTATAAGTTCATCAAGTATATTTAAAGTTCTCGGCGCAAGTGTGGACAGATGTGGCTGTACGCCTTTTCTATTACCACACCTACACTCACATCTCAAGATTTCTTCCGTATTGACAAACTGATCCATCTCAATCATCAAGGTACCTATTCGGTGCAATCAAGTTGATCCTTGTGTAGTATTTCTCATATGCTGAGTAAGTTTATTGAACTGTTCGTCATTATTTCTTATCAATGTTAAATTGAGTTGGGCCGACCGGTTTTGAATTTTTCACATTTCACTACTACGAAGTGCAATATGCATTGAAAAAAATAATTTCTTCTTCTATGTCTGCATAATAATTAATCTCGTCTAAAGATGTCAATGGAATAGACAAGATAGTTGGATCAATTTCTGTTGGAAAAAAGAATTCTTGTAAGATTGGAATTTTGTCGAGGACTGTCTGCATATAGAAAAGCGATTCTTCGATCGACAACTCTCGGTAAGAAGTTATTGAAGGAGAGAAGACATTCTTTATTCTTTTTTAATATTTTCAAATTCAATATTTAACATACTTTGATCTCGACAAACAACCGATTGAGGCCAATCGTTCGCTTGAGAATGTAACTGTTGAATTTGTCGATGAAGATCTTGAAGAAAGAGTTCCATTTTAAGAATAACTTCTATATCTTGTGTTCGACGAGCTGTATTCAACATCGAATAAGTAAAACATTTTCGAATATACTACCAAATAGATGTTCAATGATTGTACTTCGTTTCGAGTTCATCAATTATATGTTATTTCCTAGGACTATTTACAAATTGTTCTCGATAAAAATTAACTAGTTTTTTCTTTGCAAATGCAGCATATGGTAATTTCATTATAGTTTTCTTAAGTAATGGTGAGTACATGAATGACTGATCAAGCTTATTCATATTGTTTGGAAATGTGGTAGAAAGAATCTTTGTTGGTGTGAGACGAGTTTCTGATTGTTGGACATCTGGTTTTAATGTATGACAAATAGACTGAATATGTGCAAAAAATCATTTTGTATTCTGATATTTGTTTGCCAATTGTTCATGTACTGTTTTATAATTACAGACTGTATATAGATCACGTTGATTTATTGGATATTTTCAATAGGTAGAAGATGGTTTTGTCCAAGTGAACCAGAAATAATCAAAAATACTTTGTCATTTGTGATATCAGTGATGAAATTAATACATTAATCAGAATTATTGAATGTTTTGACTGAGTTGACCATCTGTTGAAGTTAATTAATAGAATACTAATTATATTCATTTTCCTCATTAATAGTAGAATTTAGTCATATAAGAATAAAAATTTCAACGATACAAAGTCATAAAATTCGTGATTCAATGTTAGTAACATTTGTATGAATTCTATTATAGTAGCAGAAGATTGAAAAATCATATTCTTAAGTATGGCTGACAGTATTTTGCTCTTACTAAATGTATCATTTTATGAACGTTAACTATTGGTCTCTGTTTTCAATATTACATTTATTTATTTGTCAATATTGTAAACATTTTATTGCTACATATGCATGAATCATCAAATTACTATCGATTGAAAGATCCATCTATGCACTTAGTACAAATGAAAATTCAAAAAAATAAAATTTGATAAAAACGTATAGAAACAAAAGGTATATTTACTTATATATTTTGTTTTTCTGAAAGCTCAGTGCCGCATAAATGATGGCGCTACATTACACACAGAACTGGATAATAATACAGCCAATTTTGTGTGAGAAGAAATAAAAAGAAAATATGTCGATAAGTCAACTTCTCGATTTTTAATTCCATGATTACAGTATATCAGAAGAATTTGAAGTCATAAATGATCTTTATTAATGATATACTCCATATACTGTAAATATGAGCTTTCAAAAACCAGCCCCATGTTAGATGTCGCTACACGTGGTGCATTTGACATTGATTAACATTTCTCCTAGTGACTTCAGAAGAAATTTAAGCGTGAAAGAGCTTAGCCCTATCTCTTCTTCCAAGGTACTTGTTGATCTACTTGAGGCAGTAACTCTCATAACATACTTTCAAATGTTATTGCTAAAATCTAAAACTACAATTCCATCAAAATTAAATGATTAAATGTGCACTAGTTGTATCTTAGGTTCGAAGATCTCAAATTTATGTATGAGAACATAAAATTTGAAAGCAAAAAAGAAAAATATTTATTTGAGCATAATACGACTGTTTCTTGTAAATATCTGAAAAAGTATCAGTAAGCTGTTCAAAATTAATATCTATATCACGTTCAGCAGCCAATAAACAAATATCACTTAAGCGAGAATCAGTCATAGAATTTCGAACTGTTGTTTTAGTAGTTT